CCGGTCTTGAAGCTGTTACAGCTGCAGAAGGATACTCAATTCGCAGCACGCGGCTATGAGGTATTCCGAGCATGAGTGAGAATGTTTCACGTGACACTATACTTCGTTTCACCTTAGGTCCGAGCGCGGCCGATATTATGAGCCGAAGGGCCAATCAAACCGTGTAAAAAGCGCAACGTGCTTTTCACGCTGCGGCTAGTCAAGCGCAGCGTGCTCTCTGCGCTTGACTAGCCGCCGGAGGAGCACGCATAGACGGCGAATACCGGCTGGTCCTATTAAGTGCAGGGAGCACGCCACGACGTTGTGCCTCTTTCGCTGTTTCTTTGGCTTTTCGGCTCGTAACATCGGCCGCGCTCAGACCCAAGCTGGAACGAAGTATAGTTCTCTCGGCACACAGCTCGCGCAAAAGCATCTTGACGAGGCTGGCCTCCACTACTGCTGTGGGGAGTACACTTTTTTTTTCTCCCACGAAAACAAGGGTAAAAGAGAAGCGTTTCCGGGCACCGTTTCTACTAGCTACCGCGGAGCACAGATCCATTGCAAAGAAATGTTTAACCTTGAAGCTGCGAAAAAATAATCCCGATCGCTGGCACCCGGAAAGTCACTTTGCGGCTGCCCGGGTTGCTCGTCCGCCTGCCCTCCGGTGACGCACCCGGGTAGGGAAAGGTAGGGGTTTTTCATGGTTGCCAGCAGCTCGACATAGATTACACGCGGCTCGAGCCGAAGAGAGCATGCTATTAGTGTGAAGAAGTTGGGATGTTCTCAAGCGTTTAAATGGGGCGTTCGGGCAATCTTTATTTACTCATCGTCGTCTTCAAAACCGTCGAACGAGACGTCGCTGTCTGAATCAAACATAATGCCGAGGGCTTCTTGCTTCTTCTGCACCGTATAGCTGTTTCTCATGACGTCCGAACTGACAGCAACACCACCGACAGATGCAGTGAATAGCTATTGGATGGAGAAACTGAAGCTTAAATAGGGCACAGGCAGGACAAATGTATCCAGTATTGGGAAGGCGGCCTTTGAAGTCTTTGAAAACAAAAGACTTCACTTTGCTGTACTATCCTTTGCTTTTGTTACAGTATTGACAAACGTTTACGGTCGCGACACTCTGGGAGAACGGGTGTTGATGACCTCACGATTGGCGGTTAGGGCTTTCTGGGAAGAGTCGGACTTCTTTTTATTTCTGAACACAAAAATGTTTATTCCATTGTCCCTATTCTTTTTCTTTTCATGAACGTTCCCTGATAGGATTTGCGGTCTCTGACCTTGCAGCCTGCGCTTCTCATTTTCCATTGTTACGACCGTCTTTCGACCTTGGGATTGACGGTCACGAAATTTCAGGAGGAAGGGTGTTCGCTTATCTCGTGATCCGCGGTTGGGGCTTGCAGGGAAGAGACTGACTTTGTTTTATTAGAGAACAAAAGATGGGGTGTGTTCTACTATTATCCCCCTTTTTCCTTTCACAAACATTCCCTGGAAGGGATCTCGGTCTCTGACCTCGCAATTTGTAGACGAGGTTTTCGGGCTCCCTTTTCGTTGTGAACAAAGGTAGCTTCACCCTGTTATCTATCTCGCTTCTCATTGTCACGGCCGTCTTCCGACCTTGGGGTCCGCAGTCGCGAAATTCAGGGAGGATGGGTGTTTACTTATCTTGCAATCCGTAGTGAAGGCAGGGTTGGGGCGATGACTCGTTTTTTTTTTATGAAATCGATGTTTTGCCCTAAAAGGGGGGGTAAGCAATGACTCGGAGATGGGCTCTGAGTCGGGATATTACGGTATACAGTTTCCCCGCTAAATTTAGTGGGAAAATGACATCACATGGCTTGAGGTCACTTAACCTATACACAAATCCAGCTTTCCTGCTGGATTTAGCTGTAAAATTGACACGTGACGGGCCATTGCCCGTCATTTGCCATACTCCGTGGACACAGGCCGACCTGACGGGGAAAGTCAATGGGTCAGTGAGTCAATGGGGTGGAGAGGAGTGACCTGGAGGCAGACTTCGAGAAGAAATGCTTACAGGTTTCTAGTGCTAAACCAAGAATGTTTAATGTAGCAACGCAATTGCAGGGCAAATTGCGATACAACTTGCCCTGTAAGTTGCATTGTTTGCAAATTGGATCAGACAAGCCGCGTCCCGATACGATCGTCGAATGAGGACTGCGAATAAGTTCTCGTTTCGACCAGCAAATTGTTGATCCACTCGCAGAAAAAGGATGTAAAGGGTGGAAATATTAGGCAAAATGAATCGCCTTTGCATACTTGAGGAGCAGCATGTCGAGTTGATGCTGAGGAAGGTCGCAGTAAAGAAAAATGAATAGAAAACTCAACTATAAAGCCGGTCGTGGAAAGCTAGTACAACGTCCTACAGGCACACCTGCCAAAATAAGCGGTCCAAAAAGGATGTGCTGATAGTCGAGAGGTCATGCACGTCCCTCCTTGCTACGTACTGATGTTGCGGAGTTCTAAACTCGAATCCTCTTAGGATTTTTTTCTGCTTCACTTTTGTTTTATTACAGCCCGGTAATATCACACTCGGGTATTTCGAATTGTTTATATCAAAACAGTCCAAACATCCCCTTGAAAATCACATGTAATACTATAGGAGCGTTGTCTTTTTGTATCAGACTCCCATGGCAGGGACACTCGATATAGCAAACGAAGCCCGGCCGCCCGTTGCTTGTTGGCGAGCACAACGCTTGGGTTGCAGGGCTGGCAGAGTGCCAAGCCAGCGTACACGCGGTAAAATACGCAGCAAAAAAACAGTTCTAAAAAAAAAAAAAAATGGATGATGGCAAAAACAAGGGAGGTGATGGCAGAAACGAGGGAAAGGGCACGCGCGCGCGCACTCACAGGGAGCGCTTGCTGTAGAAACGGTAGCCTGCGCCCTTTCCCCAAACACTGCTGATGCTGTGCGACCCCCAGCCCCAAAATAAAATAAGCAAAAAGTCTTTGGCAAGTCGAGTGTGTCGACAACGGTTGTGCAATCTGCAATCGCACTTTGAACGGCTTACCCGGCCAGTGTTTGCAGTCTCTGCCAACTATGCTCTACTGTGTTTAGGAGACGCCAGTGAATTTCAACTCGAGCTTAATTTAACTTATATCAAACTGTTTTACAATCCCCTTTGAATTCAACAAATCCGGGTTTGACTGTATTTTAATCCACAATGAGGTTCTACAACGAGCACAAGCCGCAGCAGGATGAAAAGCATGGTTACGATGGCTATCAAACAAAGGACCGGGTATGTTTTAAACAAAAACTATGTCCCAATCGCGTGATGTTTTTATCACTCCTAATTTATTATTTGAAGATTAAATAAAGTTGAATGTCTGTTGAACCTTTTTACGGAGCTACCATGACATTTTGTTGCTCATGCTGCTGTAGGGTGTAGCATGGTCGTTGCAGACAGTAAAAAACATAATTTTTAAACTCTGTTTATAAAATGCAGACACAATATTTCATTGTAATACTTAAGAATGACAGTCCTTGTGGTTTAATAAATAAAAAAAAAAAAAAAATTAAAATGCGGCATTTATTTTCTTCAGGGTTTTACAACCGGACTGGGGTTTCTGGTGTTTGGTAGTTACTCAGAAACGAAAAATTGGTGTCAAATAATCTACTTCGAAAGTGGCAAAAATCGAATTAGTTTTTATCATTCTATTAAATCTCTTCTATAAAGGGTGTAGAGCCAATATTTGACAGGGTTATGATGAGATTGCCCTTCTGTGTAGATAAGTAGGTTTATTTCTCGGGGTACTAGTAATAGCTTCAGTTTGTGTTCGGCTGTGCTTGGAGGCATTGACAAACAGCAGTTAACTTTGAGAGACTCCATCAAAAAATTTAGAATGTCGGATGACCCAGTTACCATCCATGCAATGACTGTAAGTGGCTTCGTTGTGCTTGTCTCTGCAGAAGCTCACCCCCAAAGCCAAATCACCAGGCTAGCATGGTTGGACAATTCAACGATTGTGTCCGCCGGCCAGGACAGCAACGTGAAAATATGGGAGATAAAGTTCTCTTGAAGCCGTACTGCCCTGGCACTGGCCCCGTGGCAAGAAGATGGTTTGGGTTCCTTCCGTTCAAGTAGCCGGATGTTGTGCTCTTCTCCCACATCTTTCGTTTTGGCACCGAGAGATTTTCCTTTTTTTTTTCTTCTGATGTGACTGTTTTCCCAAAATGGAGTAGTTTTTAAAACCACGCATCCCTTTGCAAAGGGGAGGCTGTCCCCCCGAATTATTTGCTTGAATTCTATGCAGGTGTGAGTCTAGTGGCTTATGGTAATTTATTGTGGTAGTGGAATGAAAGAAGACCCTTATGAGTATTAATGTTTCAGCCGTGAAACCTACACGGCCTCCCTCCTCCCCTGGCCCACTGTGAAGGGGGAGAATGGGAGTTGCCCCATAAAAGTCAATATTTTGCTAACACATTTCTTTTAGAGGTGGACTTGAGAGTGAATAGATCGACAGGAGGATGTTCATGGACATTTTCGAGCAGTTGGTGCTTCCCTAAGTCTGCCTTTTAGTCAAGTGTTATTCAAGCGTCTTGTTAGATTTTCTTTTGGTGCGGTCAGTCACTGTTTGCTTGCTGTTTATCTGTCTGGTGGACATCTGCGACGCTTTCTTTTAGTTTACGAGCACATGCATTGTACGAGCCTTACAGGATGCCTTGCCCCTGTCGTTTGGTCACTTCCTAAGGATTCTAAACTGTGTATGAAGTTTTTTGCACGGTATCTGCCATTGATGCAACACTGTCTGATATCTGTGGAGGCATGAGTGATGGGATCAACTTCAAAAGTGGTATGAAAGTTGCAAAGCATTTTTTATGTGAACACTTTGGAGCTACTAACTGTACTTGATATTTTTTAAATACTTGAGGCAATTTGCCAATAAAAGGGGAAAGCATTGCCTTTCTTGTTTGAGTGTCGTCACTGGTAGTAGTTTCGTAAAATTGATTTGGAAGCCAGCTCTTGTGAAAAGTGGATTCCAAGTGGTTGCATTAGTTTTTAAAATGTGCACTGAAGTCATTTCTAGTTAATCTAGACACTGTCAGTAGGGCAACATCTCTGGGGACACACTAAGTGACTCATTATTGCGGATACAACTTTTCTGGACAAGGTCAATGGTTGGCAAAAAACACAAGTCTGTGGGCTTTAAGGTATTTGCTGTAAAAGTTTTGCTTTTGGTGGAGTTGTTGTTGATGTGTGAAAGGCACCCAAGTGCAATGCCTGTGTCCCTTGCTGTTCTCGTGCCCCTGGGGCCCTCGTTCTACTCTGCTCGGTGCTTGCCATCGGTGCTCCTCAGACAGAAACCGAATCTTGCGTGGTCTGGTTATGTCTGGGGGCGAACTGAGCGAATGTCGTGTAAATGCGCTGGAGAACCTTTCAGAACCCCACTCGAAGCTGCTATGGCGAGCGTGGGGTGGCGGGGCAAGAAAGGGGGAACAATAACCAATAGTGCATCTTGCCACAGATAACGTCGTTGCACGAGGGTTGACAGTGGGGCGGCACTTTCAGCGTCCTCTCGATAATGTGGGTTTTTCTGTACCGACTTCATCAAATTTCGCCAGGAAGGGGAACTAGTAGCTAGCACTGTGAAAGAACAGAAGTCCTCAGCTCACAGAGTATCCGAGAGCTTCACTGTGTTTGGTGCTTGCCCTGCAGAGATGCCTGCCCCTTTCCCGCCGTTTCTGACCACGGTTGTGGGTGGCAAACCAGCCTCTCTGGTGGTGTGCATCCCTGGTACACAAGCGGACACACCGGTAAAGGAAGACACGTCGGACCAGTTTCAATCAAGATTGGTTCTATTTACAATATCTGCATGCATACAGGGACGGCATGTGCCACTGGCAGGCACCATCTCGTAACAACATGAACTTTTGGTGCCATCTAGATTACTGATGGCACACTATATCATCTCCTCCCTTAATAGAAAATGAATGTTTGATAATCAAGTACGGGACACAAGAAAAACAGCTTACTCCTTTGAAAGATAATACAGCAGTTCCAGTGATGTGATTGCTGCGCCAAACTGCGCCTATGGGCTAACCCTGCTACATCCTGCTACATTTTGCCAAAATATGGGTAATCTGCGCCAAGCGTGCGCCAAAGGACCAATTTCGGTAGCCTTTCAAAACCGAAACTAAACTGAAAACCGCAATAGACCGATCTCACCAGCTAGTTGAGTACGCCACCGCTGCCGACGTGCATCGTGGGAGCTGTAGTCTTTCTGCACGCGCGACAACCCTGCTGGAGGTCTGCGCGAGCAGAGCACGAGGCGGCACGAGCTGCCTCGTGAACTGGCGTCTGCCTCCTACGAACTACAGTTATGGCGGCGTCACGCGTGCGTGGAACGCTTGGTGAGATCGGTCTATAGGCATGCGTGAGCTAGGTGGCGCAAGCGGCTTCTGACACATAAAGCCCCTTGATAAAATTCACGCTTTCAAGTACCGCCAACCATTGTTGTAGGAACGCGCGAGACACGTGCCACGAGCGTGTGCTCCGCCGCCATTCGCTTCCAAAGCCGTTCATTTCAGTGCTGCGCCGCCATTTGCTTCCAAGGGCAGCTCGAGACACGAGCCTCGTGCACTGGCGCATTTGACGCTACTTGCAAGACAAACACAAACGCATCAAGGGGCTTTACTGACACAAAGATACCCTGCGTGAATCGTCCATCCGGTCCCCCCTTGTATAGTTTTTCCCGCCGTCTCGCGTTTCGCGCCCTCGTCGCTTTGGGAATCTCGTCTCGCGTCTTTTTTTCTAATTTTTTCAACGATAGACGCGGGCGTGTGCGGACGCTCCGACGCTAGTGTGCCGGGTGCCAGCAATGTCGTCATGCTGTGAAACAAAACCACGTTTCTGCGCGGCGAGAGTTACTTTGTGAGCTGAAACGCTCGCGCTGTGCACAATTACTGTGGTCGCGCGACATCGGGTGTTGCCGTCCCCACGTCGCTGCAGATATGGCGCTTCCTAAACGTATTCATCGACATTCAATCATACTCTAATACAAAAAAATGAAAGCCGTTTACAGCTCCCTGTAACACCGAATTGGAGCGCAGCTCTTGAGGAGGACGAGTGAAGGGTACTGAGGGGTACTTGTTCTCGGGGCGGGGGGGAGGGGGGGGGGTGTCGCGTGACCTCGGGGGGGGGGCACGTGACCCCTCAGAAAAATTTTTCCGCTAGATTTAGCGGGGAATTTTTTCCGCTAGATTTAGCGGAGAAATTTTTCCGCTAGATTTAGCGGGGAAATTTTTCCGCTAGATTTAGCGGGGAAATTTTTCCGCTAGATTTAGCGGGGAAATTTTTCCGCTAGATTTGGCGGGGAAATTTTTCCGCTAGATTTAGCGGGGAAAATTTTCCGCTAGATTTAGCGGGGAAATTTTTCCGCTAGATTTAGCGGGGAATATTTTCCGCTAGATTTAGCGGGAAAATTTTACCCATAATGCACCGCGCGGTTACGCCGACGGCGACGCCGACGCCGCTCAAGCCGGAAACGGGCCCCTAAGAGCTGCGCTGTAAAATCCCTCTTTAACTCAATGACTGCTTGTCGAAATATTGATTGCCTAGGTTTTTCTCGGTAGGCTTTCTTTCGAGAGAACCCCGGTACGTGAAAAATATGCCGTGAAAGAAAGTTGGTGAAGAGAAGTGAGCTAAAACAAAGAAGGCAATGTCTGCACGCTGAACCCGCACAGCGCGCTTGTTTGTCTAGAGTTCAGTCGTTGCACAAAGTGCTCCAAGAACTTTTTGACCCTGGCTTGCGATGTCATGCATCGATGCGTTCAGGTCTTTCTTTTTTTCTTTCTGTGTGTTCAGCTTTGTCTTGCCTTCCGGCCTGGCAAGCACGCGCCGCTGGACTGTTTTATTTATTTTTTTTGTCGCATGCTGGACAGTTGCATTTTGCATACTACGACTACGACAGCGGCACCAGCGGGACGCTTGCAATCCATTGTTTTACGTTTGCTTACTTTTGATGGAAATCTGGCACGTCGGGAACCAGTAAAACGGTAGCATGCGTTCTTTTTGAAATTGCTCGGCAACGCCTACAATACACTTGTGGGATGTCTTGGCCGTAAAAACACAAACAGAGAGTTCTGTCAGAACACAGCACGAAGTGCCTTTCGTTTTTCCGCCACTTAAAACAAATATTTTTAGCTTAGAATATCTGCTCCAAAAGCCACTTTCGCTGCTCCAAAACACTGTTTTGGCTGCTCCAAAAGGTGCTCCAAAATGGCTTAGGCCAATCACATCACTGCAGTTCTCACACAACGAAATCCTACCAATCTCTACAAGCAAAAAAACAAACAAACTACAGTGACCAGAGGGAATATATAGACAAAAGAAAGAGCAAACTGTCCCAGTTGATGACTGCACCATTAGGTATCTGTCAAAGAATTCAGTTTGACTGAAGCGTGCACCAAAAATATCGCAGTTAGTTGGAATAGCCCTTAGAAGAAGGAATACAGGGATGCAACTGCTGCGCCATTGTGTGCCTAATGACTATGTGCTACACTGATACAAAAATATAAATAACGAAATTGTGCCTGCGCCCAAACTGAAATTGTAAATGAGCCTCGGCGAAATTGGCTGTCTCGCAGGTTCTGTTGGCAACGTTGACATCGGAACTTCCGACTCAAATGGGACGCCGGTGGATCTGAATCCGAATCTCTGCAGAGGTCACTGCCATGGTTATACATTAGGTCTGTTCGATTCGCCTGAACTGGCTGAACTAGTTCAGCAGTGCAGGAACTGGTGCATTCGATTCAACCGGAAGTTGTACGGCCGCTGCACTGGCGCGTTCCATTCATCCCAGTTCTGAGCGAGTTCAGACCCAGTTCCTCAAAATTTTGCACCGGCTCCGGAGTCAGTTCAGCGTCCGTGCAGAAGCAGACGACAAGAGCAGACGGCGATAGCAGACGACACTCCTCGTCCGTCTCTGCTCGCGGTGCCATTTTTTCGCAGCTCTTGCTCAAATGTCTGCGATGTGTACGAATAACGCCGATACGGAGGTTGCGTTTCCTCTCATTTATGATAATAACGTACCCGCAGTGCACGCGGAATTGAGATTATAACCGAGGGTAGGAATTTGATTGATTATGATATTCTGAAAGCGTCTTAGGCACCTGCTCGTGTAGGTTTGGCTCCCGGTGGTAAGTGTTGAAATCTTGGCTCACGTAAATTGTTTCTTTTTGATGCTATGTGGGGATCCAAAGTGTTGATATTCTTCCTTACAGACACGGGAAAGGTATTGCACTCTTGATCGTCCCAGACTTCAGTTGCTCTTGGATGCATACTGACGACTCCGATACATTGCAGATGTCTGGGATTTAGTACATTGGCCCTCGCATGCCCCGTAGCTGAGCATAATACTGCATGCTTTGTCCGCTGGTATCTGTGGACGCCCACTAACGGGCATGAGAAAAACGCGTGGAATCGGAATTGGCTTGGTAGTTCCACGCAGGTCTTTCTTGAGAATCAGAATAAGCGCTTCAGCTTGACGCCAAAGTTACGGTCGATAACTGTTTTGGCCAAAACGCTATCGTCAGGCCTTCGTCTTCGAGGTGACCGCCACCACTGACTCCCGACGGAAAATCATCCTGATGCCGCGAACCTATCGTCGAAATGCGAAACTCGAAAGACTTGGAGTGACTCTACTATTGCTAAATGAATGTGAAGGACACGAACGCTTAGGGAAACGACAGGAACCGAACGGCCGTTAAAAATGCAGACAGAAACACATTTCGCGCAGAAAACGTTTTTAGTACACTCGAAAAAAAAATATGCACAGAAAAGATTCGGTTATAATACATTAAAAGCAACACGAATGGTCTCATCAAACCGCAACTAATTAAATGTAGCATACAACGTGGCGTGGAGAAACAAGAGCCAACAGATGCAGACGACACCCTGCGTTTCCGCTCGGAAAGGCGATCACAGCGCCAGTCCTAGCGCGGCGGCTGCACTGGTTCTGCACCGCCGCTGCACAACTCCTGCACTCCTCTGAACTCGGACAGAACTGGTTCAGAACTTTCTGGTCGAATCGAACAGACCTATCGTTTCAGCATAAAACAATTGTTACAGCATTTCTCATTGCGATGCTTCTGCTACCAGACCTCTTTGAAGTCATTTGCTGTCGCTCTGCCTCCTCTAAATTCACACGCTGATGATGCTACAAGCGCGAGTTCCAGACTTTCAACGTCCCTGCCAAGAACGCGTGCTTGTGCAGTGCAAGCATTGTTTAAGGCAACATGCTGGCGCTTGTAGCATCGGCTACGTCTGGACCACGGTGGAAGAAATACATTTAGGTGATGACTCTGGCCGCTCTTCCCGCAGAAAGTGAGCGACCAGATCGTGTTCAGAGCTAGCCTCTAACCAGGAGTAGTAAGTTCCGCGCTGCCGCGGAGGGCGTTGAGGTACGGGTTCCCTCCTCGGTGGCCACGGCGTCGGCGGCGTAGGGTGCTCGCCTTTTTCGCAGTGTGGTGGTGGTTTGCGGCCAGTGGCTGGCCTCGTATTTTGCTTCGGTGTTGTGTCTATCACAGGTGCCACCATCGTGCACGATGGTGGCACCCGGAGAAGGAAGAGAACACAGTTTTACAGACTCTGGCGGCGGTGAGGTACAACAAGAAGCGGTGAGCGAGGGAATGGCGGGGCCACTGCTGGGAGAAACAACCGGAGCGGTCGGTTTGAGAGGGACTTTAATCTGAAGAGTGGAGCAAACAGCGCCGCTATATCGCGATAAACTCGTATGTAGTTAAGTTGGTGGGCC